ATAACGTGGTATTCAGATTATAGTATGGTATTTAGATTATAGCGTGGTACTATAACCTAGTCCAAGTGGGATACCACACTATAATATAATTATATTATAGCGTGGTATCCCACTAAATTTATATCATTTTAAATAAAAATATCTTTATATTTGATTAAGTTTATATAATGTCTTAATAGATATTCTAATTAAAATAATATTAAAATTTCTTATTTTGATATATTAACATGTAAACCTAATCAGAATGGTATTTTATAACAAACTTTTTTATGTACTATAATAAAAAATTGTTTAATACTATTCTATAAATAATTAAATCAATTATATTATTATTAATATTTATATAACCTCTTAATATATTTTTTTTTGCTGATCATCTATATATATTTTTATTGGATGGGAAATTAACAATTAATTAAGATTTGGTTAATTAATTAACCGTCCCAAGTTATCACTTAATTGTTGATCGATTTTCTATACGCCATATTAAAAGAAGGGTCGGAAAAGATAATGGTATTATAAAAACGGTTTATAAATTTTCGTCATACTCATTCAGGAATACTCACTTTTTTTTTTTGGAAAAAAAAAAATAAAATAAAGTAAAAGTGGAGCGAAAATGGAAAAAAAGAATATAGATTCAAGAATAGTTAAAGAAATTAATAAGAAAATAGGAGCATTTTTAGCAAGAGAAGCAGGGTTTACTAGTATAACTTCTTCCGCAAATGAAGTATTGGCTAATGTATTAGAAACGTGTAAGTTAAAAACAATTTTATAAACATTGCTTTGTTGACAGTATGTTCTAATTAATAATTTTTCGTTTTAAATTAAGATTTTGAAAATATTATTAAAACATCACAAGCGTATACGGAATTAGCGCGTCGGTCACAAATTAATATTAATGATGTTGAGAAAAGCTTTAAAGAATGGAATATCAGAACCGGAGCCCTTGAAGGACACAGGGATAAATGTTTTAAAGGTAAAACAATAAAAATATCTGATTTATAAAAATTTCCAGGGATTCATTCGTATTTTTTTTTTTTAAAAAAAAAAAAAAAAACAGCAAAAGAAAGTTACGACACTTTCGTGACGAATTTAAAAAGATCATTATTAGAAGCGGAAACAATACCATCAGAGTCATCTTCAATGTCATTATTTGTTCCAGAGGATATAAATGAGAATGATGAGTATCGACCAAAATATGTTCCTTCACATATGCCACCATTTCCTGCTAAACATTCTTACAAGAAAACGCCCGTAAGTTACGTTGAACATATAAACGCTTTCTCTTTTAGAAATCTTCTAACTTTATTATCCTTCATAATAGATATATCCTAAACTAATCATTCGCAATCCTATAAAACTTCGAGAAATGAAATTAAAGGAAGTTAGATTGGTAGAACAAAGTTTATATAAATTAGTTCAACATCAAGAAGAACAAAAAAAGATACAGAGTGTTCCAGAATCGCCTGATACTACTTCTACCGTTGTATCTGCGGTTTCTTCTCCCCATAATTATGATTTACTATCAAGATCCACTTCTAGAAAATCTTCCACGACAAATCTTCAACTTCCTAAAAAAAGGCCATTAGAACCAACTTGGTCTGAAGAAGAATAATTAATTACTTTGTATTATTATTATTAATAAATGTAAATTTTAATTATAAATTGACAAGATTCACCAAATTAGTAATGATAAACGAAGTTCTCACCTTAATTTCCATTTTATTTCTATATTAAGTAAACTCATTATTTGATTATTTGTTTTTTAAAGTCAGTTATCATATGATCGATTTCTTTTTTTGGACCAGCAAATTTCACGTGATACCATCAAAAATTATTTCATGAAAAAAAACTTTAAATAACACTTTGAGATCGCGAGTCAAATATATAACGTTGAAAAATAGATTTTAAAACATCATGTCTCAACCATTGACGAGTATGTTGGTGGAGAGGTAATTTCTTTCATTCTTAATTAATTAATCATTCATTATTATGTTTGCGTAAGCTAAAACATATAAGTTTCTCTAGTCAAGCGTTGTACCTAGATCCAGGTAACATCATTTGTTCCTTTAGAACAAATTCTTTTCCAAGAGTTCATTTCGCTAATCTTCTATTTTTCTTTTACATTAGCAATTCGAGATTGGGTATTAATACCAATTATGGTAGTTATGGTATTAGTGGGGATCTTTAGAGATCAAGTAACGTTATTAATAGGAAGTACAAGTGGTAAAAAGGCTGGAATTAAAGCTATAAGAGAAACAAAGGCGTTAACCCGAGGAGTCACGTTAAGGAATTATGGAAATAATATACCAAGTTCATCATTTCTCATAAGAAAGAATTATCTTTGTTCATCATATAAAAAGGGGGATTTCTTAAAAAATCCCGCATCGGCTAATCAAGTAGTTAATCCAATGACGGATCCCGCTGGTATGGAAATGATGATGGAAGGAATGAAAAAAAATTTCGCCATGATTATACCTCAAACCGTTATTATGGGATGGATTAATTTCTTTTTTTCTGGTTTTGTTTTAAGTAGGTTCTTTTTTATAATTATTCCTTTTTGATTCTTTAATATATCTTTTTTTTTTTTAAAAAAAAATATGTATATATATATATATATATTTTTTTTTTTTCAGTCAAATTACCTTTTCCACTTACACTTCGATTTAAAACAATGTTGCAACGAGGTGTCGAAACTCCCGATATGGATGTAACTTGGGTATCATCATTATCATGGTATTTCTTAAATTTATTTGGGTTGAGAAGCATTTTCACTTTACTATTAGGCGAAGATAATGCTGCTGATGGTATGCGTGATATGGCTGCCATGTCTCAAATGGGCGCTGCTTCTCCTGGTCAACCACAAGATTTTAATAAGCTCTTTTTGGCTGAAAGTGAAAATCTTGAATTAACACCCCATAATTGGGAATTAGATGATATTGAAGTGAGGTTATTAGTTAAATATGGTAAAAGAGAATTAGTTGATAATAAGGATATTATTGAAATGGAAGATATTTCTCCTATTTCTTCTAATGATTTATCAGATGTTAAAGGAAAAAGTAAAAAGAAAAGGACGTGATAAATAAGCAAAATTTTAGAATATCTTTTTTTTATTATCTTTTAAAAATAATCTATAGTAATAAATTAAAATTTATATCTTAGTCTATATATACTATCGGTACATTATATTTTCGTTTCTATCATTTTATTGAGGGTTAAAACGGTACTCAATATCATCACTGCAATCCCAAATCCAACACATATTACCGCTGGTAACTTTTTTCTACTCCACCAATTTCCGGATGATAGTTTAAGGTAACATGCGGGGGGTAAAATATAAGCTAAAGCTGTTGCCGAACACCCACCTGTCAACTCTAATACAATACCCAAATCGTTGGTCAATAATGACACCATCATTGCGCCCATAACAAATATCGTGGTTAAGGTCACGTGACGTTTCAATGAAAATGATGCATTTGGAAAATAGTAGATTTCAATCGACTGGATTCAAAAAAGTATTATTGTTTTTATTTATTTTAATAATTGGTTTCAAATGTTGTGCTTAAAAATACATAAACAAATATACATTTAATGTACGTACCTCCCTACAAACAAAGGCTTCCAATGGTAAAGTTGTAAACATATTGAATCCAAAACAGAACCTTGCTATATTTATAATAACATTATCTTCTGGAAAATTATTCAAAATATTTCCTAAAAGAAGATAGAAAAAGTGTAAGCTAAAAAAAAAAAAAGTGCGAATAATTTTCAATGACTTCAATTAGAAATATATAAAGGGAACCTTCTGTTTTGTCGGTAAACGCCAAATATCCAACTATAGCTACCAATAAACATGCTAGCATTGATATTCCCGTGGATAAATGAGTAACTGCAGCAAATCGTTTCAGAGTGGGTTTACGCAGCGAATCAAAGATCAATAGGCTGTTGTGATGACAAACGAAAGCTATATATATATAGCAATATTATTTTAAAAGAAGGAAAAAAATTTTTTTTCAATAAATGAGAACGGATGGTAAAGAACATACCAAAGCTAATTACGCCAATTGCCTAAGGAGTTGGTTTTATATTATAAAAAGATAATATTTAAATATATTAGCAAGCAAATCGCTTAACAAGTCCTAAAGTATTTTATAAATTCATACCTGAAACATTTCTGGATGTACAAAGTCCCAAGTTCCCTTATCACTGCCCTTATATCGTGGATCAACACGAGGGGCCTCTATTACAACGGCCACTACAATAATGACCATTGATATTAAAGCTAACCCACTTGCTTTAGCCAGCTTTGAAATGTCTCGATAAAGTGATAACGGATATGATATGAAAATGGTACAGAAGATGATAACAAAATAACGATCCGTAAAAAGATTAAGGACCGGAATGTTTGATATATTAGGGAATAGTGATGTAATGACATGAGGAAGCGTATCGCCTAAATAATTACAAGTATTGTTTTTTCTTTTTCTCATTTTAATATGTACAAAATGAAATTTTGTCCAAATCCATCATATCATTAAAGATTATTTTATTTACCTATAACAACACAAAATGCACACATTCCTAAATAATAATAAATAATAATATTAATTTATTTTTAAGAAGCAATTTATAAAAAGATCCTTTCTCACCTCCAAAAGCAAACAATAATTGAAACGCGGAAATTATTATCAGTCCACTCTTTCCAAAGCAAAATTGCATAACTTCTTGGTAAGAATTTCGTCCCGATAATTTAGCGTTATAAACTAAAAGTCGTATCGTCCAATCTACAAGGAACGTGAGTCCTAACAAAAGAATGATACCAGCAAATATGCCGGACTCACGAAAAGAAAATGGCAAACCTATGATTCGAAAGTAGAGGAAAATAATCAAGTCCTTATGTTACGATTGCCTATAATATTATATATAACAAATATTGCAAAAGGCTCTTCCTACACTAATTACGCATCACACAGATAATTTGATCAGATACCAACCGATAATACCTATAAACATTGTAATGAAAACATTTAGAGGTATGTTGATAAGTAACGAATAAATATATTTTAATCTAAATTTCTTTTAAGCTTACCAGCTCCTATGATACTATTTGCCATATTTAAAAAACTTTCAAAGAAGGAGCCACCATCTTTTGGCATTCTTAAAGTATCACCATTATCTAAAACTAATACGCTGTTTGACTCTCCGGGAGTTGTTGAGTCAAACTCACGAGAAGCGTTAGATAACAAGGGAGCCAAATCACCAGAATTTGAACGTTCGTCAGTTTCCTCTTCAGGCGAATAATTCTCAAGGTTTGACCCATGAGAAGTTACTTGAAGAGATATAGACTCTTCGTTTTCTTCATTATCAATTACAAAAGGTAAGATTTCTTGAAAAGAACTACGAGACATTACTATGCTAGACTCAAGTAGAAACCAAATGTGAAAAATGATCTATAAAAAAGGTAAAGAATTGTAAGAAAAAAATATCACAACCTTTCGGTTTTTTGTTCAATTAAAAAAAAATTGTTTAAACCATTTAAGGCTTAAAAAAAATTTCCCTAATTTCAATATTTTTGAGTACAGACTTGCATATAATCCAATCAAATAACACCATTTCTACATATAAAGAAAATTTTTCATCTTGTTAACCTCTAGTGGAAAAAAGGTATTTTTAGATATATGATATAAACTTGAAACCTCAATTAAATAATCAAAGAAGAATGTTTTTTTTAATTAGCTCATAATATAATTCGGGCTAGATACGGTTAGAGAATTCATATCTAGTTGGTAATTTATTAAAAATTTAAAAAGTTCGGACGTTTTCGATCATGTGACGATTATCAATATAAACATTCACTTTAAAAATTATCGTTTGTCATTAATCTTTTTTCTGAAATAATGAACACTAATGCAAACAAAATAAATCCTACGAAAATAACGGCAAAATTCAGATGGAATCTACTTCGTTCGATAATTCTATCATCATCTAATACTCAACATACAATGAATCCAACAAAAAAGCATCAAGAATTTAATTTATTTCCTCGGCGAAAAAGAGCCTTGACCAATAACGATGACATACCACAATTGGAAGAATGGTTCACTTATGATCTTTATGATCATGTGACCTTGGATGTTAGGTAATTAATATTCACGTCTTTTTTTTTTAAAAGAATGGTATAATAAAATTTTTCGAAATAGCCTTTTATATTATGTGATAGGATCAAAATTCCTAGAAAAATTGATATAAAAGCAACTTTTGCTACTGAATACTCTGGAATGTTGAATACGGGTAATTTATGTATTTGGCCATCAGAAGAAGTATTAGGTTATTATTGTATGAAAAATCCCAATTTATTTAGGTAAATTAGTTTTTTTGATTTTTTTAAATAAATAATTTTTTATTCCGATAAATATTTTAATCCAATTTTAAAAATAAAAAAAAAGAAATAAAAATGTGTGCGAATTAGGTGGTGGAATGTGTGCACTGGCTGGTTTGATTGTAGCTGCGAAATGTCATCCGCAAAGCGTTACCCTAACAGATGGCAATCCTGATTGCATAAATAATATCCTTTTAAAAATGTTCTAACATTCAACCATTAATCATACATTTTTTTAATTATTCTTGACGATGTTATTATGTTACACATATCCAGACCATTTTGAATTCAAATAAGGAACTCTTCTCTGATGTGGATATGTGTTCCGTGCAGATGCTTTGGAATAAGAATACCGTATACGACATTCAGTATAATATTGTCATATGTGCTGACTGGTAATTATTTTGGCACAACTTTTCTATTCAATGGAAAGTGCTTCACAAAGTTTGTAATTATAGACCTTTTAATTTCTACAGTACTTTTGATAAAGAAACACATCCGCACCTTCTCCATGTTATACGTTCTATTCTAAAAAAATCAGACAAAAGCTTGTTTATTCTATGTGCACCTCGTCGAGGTGATAGTCTACAAGCATTTGTCACGTTGTTAGAAACTACTGGTGAATTCCGCGTAGAATTGTTAGAAAAATATGATGAGATAGTATGGAAATCTCATGGGAAAAGTCTAAAAGAAGAACAAGGTTACTATAATACAGACGCTCATTATCCTCTAATTGTACGCGCTTCTTGGAACTTATAATTCCCTTCAAACTTTTTGATTCGTTTGAATTTTCAAAGATTTTAAATATTATCATCTTTGATATTCTAAAGTTATGATGTAATGTTTTTCATGCAGGGCCGCCCACGGGGATTGATTATAATTAATAGTAAAAAAAAAAATAATAATAATAATAAACGAAAGAATATATAATAATAGTATTATAGTTCATCATCATATTCAATATCCTAAATAAATTTGCAAGATAAATATCAGATAAAAATAATTAATAAATAAACAATATAATATACGATATATAATTCATACCTTTGGTTCTTTTGGTTCTTGATCTTCTTCGAATTGAAGTGAATCATCAACATGTGACAATATCATTGTTATAGAATTTTCATCTGTAATATTCAACGGCATAAAACTGACCATGTTGTAATCATCAATCTGCAAAAAGAAAGAAAAAACAATTATGTAAATTAGTTCACATAAAAAAATATATATATATATATATTTGAAATTATATATATTTATTTCTACAAACCAATTGTACAATTTTCTTATTCAATTCATGAAATTTTGGGTTCATTGAGGAATTTGCTTTATCCGTTAGTAATGAAGGGTCGGGATCAAAATATCTGAAGAAACATGAAGATAAGATATAATGATGAAGGAAATAGAACAAATATATGATGCAATAAATCTCGGAAATCTTACCTTTCTAGTTCCCTTCTTTTAACTTTACCCAAAAGATCCATTTTAGATAATACATTTATATGTGGTATTTCTAAACTAATCATCGCTGACATAGCACTTAATACCCCAGCAAAGAATTTCGAATTATCTTCAATAAACTGACTTTCCAACAAATACACCCCACAAATACGAAAATGCATTCGTTGTAAACAGTCACAAATTCGTCTCATAATTGGAAAGTGGGTATAAAGTTCAATCTGGCCTTTATAAATGAAGTACAAGGTAAGGTTTAAATGCAATATGATCCATTAATGTTATATGTGAATTAGGCCATACCTGGACAATCAATGATCAAATAATCATCATCATATTCTCCCAATTCTTCTTCCAACCAATCCATATTATTCAATAAGAATCTTTGGTGTAAAATAATTGTATTATAAATATTTATCGACGAAAAAGGAAATTTCCCTTATAATCAAAAATACTTACTCCAGACAATATATTAATCCTCCATTAGGGCCATATTGTAATTCTTCCATAACATCCTCTAAGGTAATTAGATCTCGAATATCTAAAATAGTGAGAAATCTTAGGAATTAATTTAAATCATTAAAATTGAACTTCCTTTAGCATTTTGATAAATCAAAAGTATACTAACCAATCGAAGGTTTATACTCAAATTTTTCAGCTGCTGGATCAAGGTTCATCAAATGTACAGAACGACCAATATTTTGACAATGAGTCATCATTGTAGCGCAATATGTGGACTACACGTCAAATTTTCCAAATGTAAGATTAAAGTCCCAAAAAAAGTTCAAAGTATTTTTTTTTTGTCTCACCTTTCCTGTCCCGGCAGGACCCATTACAAGTTGTACGAAACGTCCCCTATTATAAAACTAAAAGTTGTAGCCACTTATAAGTAAACTAAAACTTGTTATTTAACTTATCTTACATTATGCGTCGTGAAGTGTCAAAAAAAAAAAAAAAAAATAAAGAGAATGGTGAACGGTAATCGGTTCAGCAATTAAATTTATGATTTATGTTGATCAGAAAAATTACCTTAATTCGGCCAATGAATTACAACTCGCACGATTTTTTTTTAGAGAACCGGTTCAATTCTCCATCTAACAGATCTGAAGATTGGTTTTTTTTTAGAAGTTACAATAGAGAGAATTTCTTTCCACGATTACTTACTTAGATTGGGGAACATGAAAATTACAAAATCTTTCATTTATTTCAAGTTTGCAATATCAAAAATACTTAGCGATCGTGATGTTAAAGGTATATTTAAATCTCTTACAGCTCGCTGCATTAGTTTTGTTTTTTCCTTCTTTGCAAGGGTCAACATGGAAATTTTAATTCCATCACTCCATGATCATTTCATTAAATACAGAAAGTAAATTGTTGATTTTACAGATTTCAAAATGCCATTATGTTCAAAGTAAATAAGTAAAATGTTGACGAAAACTTTATTGGTATAAAATATATTAAATAATTTAAAATCATTAACCAAGCTGCTCAAAAAAATAAAACCGGGTCGGACTAAAGTTCGCTATTAGCATATGCTAGTAACCAGATTGTCAGTACTAATCGCAAACCAAAAAAAACGGAGCTTCTCTACCAAGCAAAGTTCCCAGTTTATGCATGGAGAAAAAACCTTTGGGTTTCTATATAACCTTTATTGTCATTTGCATTCATTTTTGTTCCCCCTTTCATGCCCAAAGTATTCCTTCTTGGCAGTTTTGTACCCAGTTTCTATCTTTCTGAGCGTTTGTAACTAGTTATCCTTTCTGGAAGTTTGGTTAACCAGTTTCTTTTTGGTCGAAGTTCTCTGACTGAAAAGGGAGGGGACCTCCCAAAGAAACTTGTTTTTATTTACATACATGGGATGGGGTAACGGAAGGAAACCAAAACAAAATGTGTTTGCGAAAGACAGTGTTCACAGGGGAAAGGGAGAGGGAGAACGGAAGCAAAAAGTATGTATAAAGCTCTTGATCCAATTGGATTGATATGTCGGACCAATTGACATGCCTGACCCACAGTCTCTCAATTGATTCTATAGATATTTTATTTTTTTTTTTTGGCAGAATATATAAAAAGAACTGACAATATAAATATAAATTGTTAATATTATTAATTATTCGTTTACATAGGTAATTTAATTTTTCCAAGACGTCGGTTATGTAAATATCTTCCAACAAGATAAACAATAGCAAATAAAACACTTGCAATATAAATTACTCTAAATGTAATCATTAAACCATCCTCAGAAGTTGAAGGAATATATCCCGAAATGGGCTTTGTTTCAATCGTTGAAGCCAATCCATATCCATCTACTTTTAGAGTGCCAATCGTATTGACAAGAAGGGAATTATCTTCTTCCATTACGCTTATAATATTGTAATTTTCCTTCTGAAGATAACATTTAAGTGCGTCGATATCAACGTCAGTCATCGGAACAACATTTCCACTCTCGTCCAGTCGATCCGCTTTTCCAGTAATTCGAATTTTTGCTTTGAAGGGGATATCAATACTAACCTTATCAATTGTTGCCCCAAATTCAATTGCATTAAAAGGCGGAACGACAACTTGCTCTTTTATCCCATATGTAACTTCTTCTACTATACTTTCTCTATATACCTTTTCATAATTTGATCCGAATTGACGTTCAACCCCACGAGTGAAATCCGTGTTTAACCCTAACAGCTTGAAAATAGTTCCACTCAAACGAAATGAGGCACTCACTGCCTCGCTAACTCTATCGCCTAAGAATTCTGACTTCTTAATCTCCATAGCATAATTATTCACTTTCTTTTCGATCCTTTCAATGGTTGTTGTTATCGTTGCATTTGTTGGGTTCTTGATTGTAATATTACTAAGTAAAAGTTTGGTACGTTTTTTATACTGATCCAGTTTATCCTTTAAATCTGAAGGGTATGTAAACTCTGTCACTAATGCGTTCAATTTATAATTTGCAGGTTCAAATGACCAGCGTTGAAAAGGATTGTTCTCGTCGTTACTGGCTCCAATATATACCGAATTACCATTGCTATCTAAATTCCGATATTGAGACATCAAATGCTCAACATTAAATGTATTATTCTCAACCTTTGTAATTTCCCATTGTTGATAAGGGTTATTATCTTCCGGTGTACTGGTATAAACTCTGTCGGTATTGCTGTCTAAATTCCTGCCAGAAATCATATGTACGATATTATACAGACTACCGTAAACTTTCCGAATGGTCCAGTATGAAGGTGATTGTCTGGCGTATATGTCATAATTCCCGTCGTCATTTAAGCTCCTATGAGTCCTCAAATGTACAATATTATAACTAACTCCCTCTACCAAAGTATAATCGTCAGAATCATTATTGACAATAACTCTGTTATTGGGAATTAAAGCACTATTCACCAAAACTGCCGAGAGCAGAGAAAAACTTAAGTAATAAAAACAAATCATGTTCATTAATAAATTGTTCTTTTTGGTGAAAGGTGAAGATTTTATATTGAACTTTCAAAATTCGTGTCCAAGATTCACCGCAGATGTTCCATAATACACGTCCTTTTTTGATATTATTCACATCGCCTTTTTTCTAAAAATACACTTTGTGAAACGAAAAGTTAATTTATTTTAGTTCCTCTCTCAATGGATACTAACAATTAAAAGATTTTCGTGAGATGAAAAATCTTTAATAAATTCATGATCGACATATACTTTTGGTAATATTATAATGAAAATGAGAGGGGTTACTATTAACCAATTTCAGGTATTTGGCTTTTTGTTTAATATTAGAATCTATCTATTAAAAAAAAAAGATTATTATGTTATCATCATTATTAATATTACGATTATTAATATTTCAATAATGCTTGAACTGAGTTCAATCTCATCAAATAATACATTATATATTTGTGTATAAGAATGCTTTCTTTTTTTATTTTTTGGTCAAAACTTCAACTAATACATTTCATTAATTTATTCAAAATGTTATTTTATAAATATATGAATTGTAGAAGAGAAATAATTTGATCTGATTAGAAAAAATAATGTATAGATCAACATAAATTTTATGTTAAAAATATACATATGTAATTCTCTCAAAAATAAATCTTTCAAGTAGAATAAAAAATATTTTGAAATAGTTTTATAAAGTAATGGTTAAAATAAAATTGATTAAAGAAGAAATTTTTACATTAAAAAAATGTATTATTTTTTAATTTATTTTCAATACATATTTTTTAAATTCATTATTTAGTATCAAGATTATTTTTTTAAGATTAGTATTTGTCTTTAGTTAATATTATAAAAAAAAATAATACTTTTATTAGAATATATATATAATTACATTTTTGAAAAAAACTGTTTAGATCATATCTATTATTAAAACACCTTAGGTTAGCATTATATAAAATACAATTACTACAATAAAATATATGATCAATTAAACATTTTATTTAAATATATTTATATTGTTTTTTATCAGAAAAAATTATATGTTTTCATTAATTAAATTGTTAAAAAATGAATAATATTAGAAAAAGATTATATTTTTTATTTATTCTTTAAAGAAGGATATGTTTGATTTTTTTAATTTTAAATATAAAAAACAAATTTATTTAATTTAATACTTTTAATTATTAATTTTATATAAAGTAAATTAGATAAAAAAATATTTATTTTTTATATTTCATTAATATTACACAAGAAATAAATATATGAAAGTAAGAAATTAGATTTTAATTTTTTTATTATAAATTGAGATCTGTAATAATTTTTTCTTATTCATTTTAATAATATAATATAATTTTATTTTTGAAAAATCTGAAGTTGATATTTATATATCAAATATTTTATTAAATTTTAGATGAAAGATAACATAAAATTCTATATAATTATAATATTTTTAAACATTTATGAGTATTATTATTTATTATAAATATATATAAAAAAAAGTTTTTTTATTAATAAAATATATATGTTATTAAAGCATTTCTTTATAAAGGTAAAATTTTATATATATCCTATTGTTTCAAATCAAAAATTAATAAATATAATAAAATAAAATAATAATTAAGTAGATTTTTTATTTCATATAGATACTTAATAATAAAAAAAAAGTAAATTAAAAAATTTTTTTTAAATTGTTATTAATTTAAACTTATTTATTAAAAAAATCATATTTAACTTAAAATTTTTTTTAATAATTTTTTCTCTTTTTATTACAAAATACTTATATTAATATCACTTATTTAAACTTATTTTAAATTTGATAAAATATCTAAAATTTAATTTCACTAATTTTTTTATTAAAATTTTGAAATAATTTAATATTTTTATAAGCTTTAATATAGTTTTACATGTATTTACATAACTTTTTATTTATTTTATTAATATACTAATTGAAATCAAAAATTAAATATATAAAAATTTGACTTAAAATATCCTAAAATTAGCAAAATATTAAAAATTGACTTAACTGATTAGGTATATATTAAAAATCAATTAAAATTTAATATATACATTTGAAAAACAATTAAAATATATCAAAATAAAATAAAATTCAAAAGGAATATAATTAATATTTTATAGAATTAATAGTTAAATTAATACTTTAAACAATTCAATTCAGTTTAGATTATATATTTAGAATAATAACTTTGAATTGTTCTAATTAAATGATATTTTTATTGTTCATTTATAATATTAATTTTAAATAGTTCTAATTAAATAATATTTTTATCATTTATTTAAAATAATAATTTTAAATTGTTCTAATTAAATGATATTTTTATTGTTTGCTTAAAATAATATTTAAATTATTTTAAATAATAATAATATTAATTATTTTAATTGAATAATGTTCTTATTATAATATTTTATCATTCTAATTGAATAATTCTTTTATTATTTATTTGAAATAATAATTTTAATAGTTCTATTAAATGATGTTTTATCATTTATTTAAAATGAATTATTCAAAATTTTCAGATTAGTTTTTATATAATTTAAAATTAAATTGAAAATTTTTAGATTAATTTGAATTGTTTAAAACTTTAAATTAAATATTCTTTTATATTTTACTAGATTAAAATTTAATAGTTATCAGTACAAATTGACTTAAATATAAAGAACTGGTATTATACAATCATAACTTTTCAAGTAAAAATCAGTATATATAATTTAATATTTCTTCACTAAAATAATATTAAATATTAAAGAACTTGTCAAAATGAAATTATTTATAGACAATTTTATTAATATTATAATTCTTTAAATTATAGAACAGATAAATTTACCTATAAATATAAAAAAAAGTATTAATTTTTTGATAAATATAAAATATTAATGTTAAAAATATAATTATTATATAAAAATATAATTTAATATATGGGGGCTAAGCTATTAAAATCACTTTACAGGATAAGAAATTGATTTTAAGTAAATGATGATTAAAAATGCTACGCCACAGTAAACATTTTCAACTAATAATAAATAGTTCTATTTTTAAATATTGAGTTAAATTATTTAATAAGACAATACTAAAATTTATTATTTAAAATTTTACTATTAATTCTTATTTTATAAAAATTATTTT